CTCTCCCTCTTCTTCTCTTTCTCTGGAAGACAAGGTAAACTTTTGTAATGCGCATTGCAAGGGAGCAGAAGTTTTGCCCTGATTCCTCACATGAGTAACAATTATCAATGAGTGTTATTGCATAAGTGAGATTTCTGAATCCTCCTTCCCAGTTGCTGTGATTAGAACATTTATCTTTCAGAGCCAAAATATCACAGGTTTTGGTATGCAAACAAAGCTTTGTTAATGAGTCAAAGGATTGCTAGGATTGTAGCATATAATCCAGCAATAATATTGACGCCTAAAATATCTTTGCTGAACATTATTTTTTCATTAATTGAACAGCTGCTAAGCACACACTGTGTCCTGTGGATTATGTTAGTTATTCAGAAACAAAAATAAATAGAACATTGTTATTGACTCGAGGACCTCAAAATTTGGGTAGGAAAAATACAAATATGCCTTCCAGAACACATTCTTCTAACTGTAGACCAGTGAGGAGTGGAATAAAAGACATGTATGGGCAGTAAGATACTTGACCCTGTAAGAAAGCATTAGATATAGAGAAAGTCTGGGTAGTAGGCCTTGCACAATCACACACACACACACACACACACACACACAGAGCACAAAAGTTGGGTCTTGCCTGGGAAGAAATCAAATGAAAGAAATAACTCTACTTCCCATTACTCATCCAATACCTGAGAATAGTAAGCGATTTGTTTTTGAATATTCTTCTAAATACAAGATTCGGTGTTTCACCAACAACTTACAAGTGTGTATCACTTGTTTTGGCCACACAAGGGAAAATTTTCAAGTATCTAATGCCAAGCCTGTCCCAAATGTCTGGGTGTTTTTAATGTAACCAAAAGCACCTGAGATTAAGCCCTGTCCTACTCAAGCAGACATTCTGCAGAGCTCTGTCCATTCATTTCTCTTCTTCATCTTGTAAAAAACTAATAATAAATTAGCACTTAATTCCTCTGTTCCTGAATATCTCATAACCTACTGATTGAAAAATAAGCATGTACAACATATAAGAAGAGATAATTAAAAGCATATAATCAATAACTTAATTTGAAATTTCTCACAAGTGAAAAGCCATCTGTTAAGATCCAACTAGATACACCTTTTTCTTTATTACCCAAACAAGGAGGACTCCCTGAAATCTCATTCTCTCAAACATTTCAACATAAGAAAAATGTTTTGGCTATAAATGTGCATGACTATATACCTATGGAAGAATCTTACAATTATAAAGATATAACGTGCTTGTAAGGTCAATTTAAGCTACTATTTCTTAGGGTATATTAAAAGTCTGAAAGTTTTCACAATATGCCATATTAACATGTACTCATCAAAACACCAAACTTTGAGGACTAAGACTCATGTCATTGCAACATTAAATTTGTTTGTATAACAAGATCACATTGTTTGTATAACAAATCTAGATGTCTACCATGAGCTGTTAGAAAGTAACCTCAGGTGCCAGTAAAAGGACACACTGAGGGATTCAGAGTACGTACCACCCTGGGACTAAGAAAATTTTCCATAAGCCTTGTCTTCCAAAAGAACACGGCAAAACATTCATATTTTGAAAATATTTGCCTGAAAATGTGTTCTGCTTTATTTATACGTAATTTTTAGACATTTATGGACAATGTCAAAACAATATCAGCATATATTTACTCGAAAAACAAGATGAACAAATTATGGTTTTATCTCACAAAAATAGCTAATATTAATGCAGATTTCCTCTAAAACTGTGTGCAATATGAACCACATATTTAATTTTAAACTTGTTAGTAGACATATTGAAAAAGGAGAAACAGGCAAAATTAGTTCTAATCATATATTTTATTTAGTCCAACATTTCAATAATGAAAATATTATCATTTCAACACATAATAAATATAAGATAATCATTAATGTGATATTGCACATTCCTTTTCTGTACTAAGTCTTTGAAATACACTGAGCATTTTACACTTAAAGCACATTTTAATTCAGACTACCCAGACTGCAAGCATTCAACAGCCACGTGAGGCTAATGGCTATGATGTTAATCAGTACCACTCTAGAAATTTTGCTTTGAAAGTCAGATATGGATAGAAAATAAAGTTGATTAGAAAATATATATTCATCCTGTAATACATCTTATATCATAATATAATACACTTATATTTATGTTATTTTGTTTCAGCTATGATTTTTCTTTTTTATATGTTTTGCCAGGGAAGTCGGAGTTTTATAGGAGAGTAAAGATTTTTTTTTTTAAATGTTGCAATGACATGAGTGCTAAATCTTAGAGACGAAGGTGAGAAGATTTATTTTAAAAAGAAGTTTCAGTTACTGGCTTTGTAAGACATATGGTCCTGAAATCCCACAGTGACAGACTTCAAGAAGAGCCAAACCTAAGATCCTAAGGAAAAATGTAAATGGATATTTACTCATCACAAGTAAGGGATATTAGCATTAGAATAATCAATGGACATTAATTTGTTAAAAAATTTTAGAAGGTAAATAATAAACATAACCTGTAATTAATTAAATTGTTCTTTACATCATTTACACACACATAGATATGACTATTTGAAACTATTTTTTGCTATATTATTTTAATAAAATGTATTTTATATGAAAAGTTTAATAGTGAGATTGTTATAATATACAGTAAAGCATGAGTAAGCTGTCTCTTTAAATCAAATTGCTGTTATTCATAAAATGAGGAAACTCAGATTATGCTGGTGAGACCTTATATTTTCCACACATTACATATGAATTTTAGAATTGTGTTTTCTATTTCTGTGAAAATCGTCATTGGTATTTTGAAAGCGATTGCATTGAATCTGTACATAACTTTGGGCGGTATGGACATTTTAACACCCATTATGTTGTTTGCATATAGGGACAATTTAACTTCTTCCTATGGTAGATAAGATTGCATTGAACTGTGATCTATATAAGGCTTTATGTAAGAATATTTGGAGCATACATTGTGTTAATAATTTGATTCTTTCCCTAAGAAGTTGTTAAAGAAAATAAGAAACAAGATGTGCACATAATATACACTTTTATTCATCAAAATAACTAAATATATAAAGCATCATATTAAAGCTCTAAAATATATAAAGTTGAAAAAAATGAATAAAACTCTTCACCAGACTCAGAGGAGTTTATAATCTACTACCAAACGGAAATAAACACATGACTCAAGAAGGTCAGATTAATTCTATGGAGGTAAATAAAGGAAGGGTTTGTAGAGTAAGTACAGTTTAAACTGAGACTTGTAAGATAGGCATAGCTTTTCAAATGAAAAGAGTAGTGTTGTTTTTTATGTGGAAGAGGTTAATGGAACATAGACTTTAAAAAAAATTAGTAGGAGCATAATGTGAAAAAAATGAGCTACAAGCTAATTTGCATGACAGGTAAATGGAAGAGTGAAAAATTTTGTATTTTAATTAGCATCAGTCTTTGAAGTTAAGCAGGAAGGAAGATAGAAATATGGAAATCAAAGCTATTGTTTTGGTGAAAGACAATACTATAGAAATAATAAATTGGGCCAGGCATAGTGACTCACCCCTGTAATCACAGTACTTCGGGAGGCTGAGGCAGGTGGATTGCTTGAGCCCAGGAGTTCAGGACCAGCCTCAGCAACATAGCAAAACCCCATCTCTACAATAATAATAATAATAATAATAATAATAATAATAATAACCAGGCATGGTGGTGCACACCTGTAGTCCTAGCTACTTGGGAGGCTGAGGGCTAAGGTGAAAGAATCACCTAAGCCCAGGAGGTGGAGTTTGCAGTGAGCCAAGATTGTGGCACTGCACTGTAGCCTAGGGGATAGAGTAGAACCCTGGCTCCCTGCCTTAAAAAAAGAAAAGAAATAATAAATTGGCTTATAAGCCTTCCAAAAATAATTTGATTATTATAGATTAGGAGATATTCTGAAATGACTTATAAAATAATATCTATGAGGTGCTCAATTACTAACAAAAAAGGGACCTGGCTACTAAATGTTAATTAATCCCAAGAAATATCGGTCAGTATCTAGGTCCCACCATTTTTAGAGCATGATCAGTATAAAAATTGCAAAGTGTTAAACATACTTATCCTTATTCTAAAAAGTCACTAATTCAGATGTCTGGATCCTATAGGAAGCTATACTGGCCCAGAGACAGGATATAAGGATTGAGACAAGAGAGCTAAAAGTAGGATGAAAAATACAGTTTAACTGTATACCTAAGACATGTAGGAAAGAATAGGAATGCAGATGGTGTCAGAAATCTGATGGAAAAATCAGGTAGGGTAGTATGAAGTCAGAAGTTGGCAAATATATCTTTAAAAAAGGACACAAATTTACTGAAAACACACACGCATACACACAAATATGAGTCATCTTAAGATGTAAAAAATCACTAGGAAAAAATAACTATAAGAAATTCACACTCCATATAAGTACCATTAGATAAAAATATTAACAAGATCTGTCAAGGAGAGAGGAGGCAGTGGATGTCTCATGTTATTCACTCTACATAAAATCAAAGTTCTTGAGTCAACATCTATATCTCCATGAGAGATCCATTCACGGCAAAAAAAAAAAAAAAAAAAATTCACACTGAGCTGCATCAGGGAGAACCAAGACATCTGACAAATATGTATTTATTAAACAACAGTGGAATTTAAAAGCATTTAAAATAATTGGAATTATATTTATCCTTTATTTGAAAAACCATTCTAAGCCCCTGTGATTATGGCTTGTCAATTTATACTCACATAGATGAAGTCAGGAAAAGCTTCCAAATAATTCTAGAATGTCAAAACACTAAGATTCCAGTCAGTGCAAGAAGAAGCTGGAGCAAAGAAGTGGATATACGTATAATCAATTGAAACACTGAGGAAAGTCAAATCTAAACTTATTCTTACAGTAACAATTTAAATTTTCTATGCATCATAACAATTATTTCCCATTATCAATTTCTGTTTTCAAGGTCAGGTCTCATTCATTTTATTTCTTACAACCTCCTCAGCAGGTTCTGGATTCCCTGCTTGATCTCCTTGGTTCTCACACCATAAACAATGGGGTTCAGAGCTGGGGGAATGAGGTGGTGCAGAATGTTGAGCAGGATGGGGACGTCAGGAGAAACTTTCTTCCTGGCCAGGTTAGTGATGAGCAGAACCAGCAGGACTGTGGTGAAGAAAAGGATAAGAATGAAGTGGGAACCACAAGTACCTAGAGCTTTGGCCATAGCTCTCTCAGCCTTAATCCTTATCACAGTTTTCAAGATTAAAAAGTAAGAGAGAACAATGAGGATGAGGTCAGAGCCCAGAAGAGTCCAACCTATGGCAAACTGGTAGTGCTGATTCAAGGTGGTGTCATCACAAGAGAGTCTGGAAACAGACACATTAGTACAGATGCAGTTCTTGATAATGTGTCCTGCACAGTATCGCAGTCGAGAAGAAAGTATGGGGATAGGCATAGTAAGAAGGCCATTCCTGGCCACAACAAAGATGGCAGCCCTAGCCACAAATTGATCAGTGATGATAGATGCGTATGGTAGTGGCTTACAGATGGCCACATAGCGGTCATAGGCCATGACCATGAATGTACAGGACTCCATAGCCAGGAAACTGTTCATGATGAACATCTGGAGGAAGCAGGCAGGGAAGCTGATCGACCTGAAGTCAAACCAGAAGATGGCCAGGACCTTAGGGATGACGGTGAGGCAGAGCACGATGTCCAGCAGGGAGAGGAGGCTGAGCAGGTAGTACAGGGGCTGGTGCAGGGAGGCCTCCAAATAGATGGTGATCAGGAGGATGGCATTGGCCCCCATGGCCAGGAGGAAGAGGAGGCTGAGGGGCAGGGACAGCCAGTGCTGCCAACTCTGGAAATTGGGGAAACAAATGAGGAGGAATTCAGAGACTGGGGAAGTGGAGTGGTTGCTGGGTAAAGTCATGAAATAAATCCTCAGCAGAGAAAATTTCACCTGAAATTATGTTTGATAAGACATAGGAATTAGAAATAGAAAACAAAGCTGTTAAAACATTTGCTAACACTTTCTAATTTATAAGATGTATGAGATACAGATGACCAATCCCAAATGAAGGCAATGCTAATAGTAAATCTTAAATAGTGGAATGCTTAGTAAATTATTTCTGAAGTAAATTTAGAAAAGCAAATAAAACAGACTAAAGGTTTTGAAGAAAAATGATAGAAATTACCTCATTAAAACAAATTGTAAACTATAAAAAATTCCAAATGATATTGACAAAACAAATTGAATAATTATGGATCCTACAGGCTAGAAATACCCGTTTATAATCTAGAATTAATAAATATGTCATAAAATAATTTAATTATAGGGTCCTTTCAGTAAGTAATGCATAATTTGTTAGATGGGGGAAAATAAGTATTTCTCTCTTTTTATTATACACCAAAGGATATTTAAGATGGGAAAAATGTATGATATATTTCCAATCCTATTATAAACTTGAAGAAAATAAAAGTAAATATTGATTAAATGTATAGAGGAATTCCCAATCTCCCTATCACTCTGACATATTGTCCTGTGGCACAACCCATCCTGGACATACTTAATCCAAGCCTGAACAAGTGCAACTCCATGTTCCTATGGAAAGTTGTGCTCAAAGGTTATGCTGTTGTCATTAAAATTTATAACCACTCATCTGAAATGAAAATTTAGTACACATATTCATGACAATAACCTTCTCTGGTTAATTCGTTACTTTATCCACTTCCAGCAATTTTTCATATTTTCTATTCTTTTCAAATACCAAATCTCCTCTTCTCTCAGATAACCTAACTGCTTCATAAAGACAGCAGAAACATCAGATACAAGTCCTCTACTTCCCATGATAGACTCAAAAACTCATCAACATCTACATCCTTGCTTTGCTTTCCTCATTGTATCAGCAGAATCGAGAATCTATCCTTCCTCTGAATGGCAATCCTTGACCTCACATTTTGATTCTATTCACCTTAGGAAACCTGGCTCACGAATTATCCAGCCCATTTCCTGTGCATTCAACCTCTTCTAAATCCTTCCCATGGATATTCAAAATGTTCAAGTCTCTCACATCTTAATTACTTTCTTTATCCCACATTCTCATTTGGTTAAAGATCATGATTTCATTTTTTTGGAGAAATATACTAATCTCTTTCTTCTTCCTATTTCACACCCAAACTTTTAAAGGCTCAAAGAAGGCAACGGACATCTAAAAAGGGACAAATGACTGTTGATTCAGTAGTCCAATTGAGAAGTGATCAGTGTATGAACAAATAGCTCTGGGATGGCTGTGAGGATAAAGAAAAGGAGCATAGCTGAGAGGTATAAATATAATGATAGTGATAGAAATACAGTGATTACACTAGTTGCATAGAAGAAGAGAAGATAGAATTCTAAGACTGCACTGTCTGTTCTGTCTCAAATTACTAAAGTAAGTTTCACAAAACAAAAAATAGGCTTTGAAAAGACTTGATATATGTTGTGGAGTCAGAAATTATGGATCCAATTTTGATGTGTTGAGTTTATTGGCTCTGTAAGCTATCAAAATATATGTGAAATGAAATGTTAGAGAACGTAGTTTAAATTCCTTTGAAAGTTAAAGAACTGGAAATCATCAACACACAACATATAGCTCAAATCATAGGACTTTAAATAGATATAATTACAGAGAATATATAGATTAAAGAAAAAAAAACATAAAATAGAATCCTAAGAAATGCCTATCCTTAACCTTAGGACCAGAAGAGGTAAAGATATTGCAAGAAGACCAAAAAGGAATGAACTGAGACATAATTGAAAATTAAATGGAGTGGACAGACATGCTCACATGAAGCATTTCAGCTATATGGGAAAGAGATTGTCCATTGCATTCAGCAATTAGGTAATCACTGGTGATCCTAGCAAACAGTTTCATGTGAGGAGAGAAATCGAATGGGGGAGGACAGGGAGCCAGCAGGACTGCAGTGAATGGACCTCATCAGAGATCAACAAACAGCTTCACATGGAGGGAAAACTAAATGCACAGGTAGTACAGCATGTATCAATGCAAAGATTTTTTTCTTTTTTTTTTTTTTTTTTACAAAAAGTAATGTGAATACATTTAAACTGAGGGGCAAAAGTCCAGGAAGAAAAATATGGATGATTAAAAAGAGGAAAAAAAGATAAAGCAACAGCCTTGGAGAGACAACTACTAGTTCCATTTAAATACTGTACAAAACACGCCACTGCCTAACGTTCCCTCCTCTCCTTCCCCAATCCACGGTAAAACCTCTGAAGTACATAGGATGCATTTTCTGTCTTTTATCCGATACTGTTTTTACAATATCCAGAACTTAATAAATTCTTAATAAATACTTGTGGGGTAAATGTTTCATCTTTATTTCAACTAAAGTAAGAAAAAAATAAAAAGGAAAATATTAACCAAAGAAATCAGGGAACTGATGGGGAAATCTAGGCAAGCCACAGGAAGAAGCTCAAGATCATAGGAGCTGAGTGGGCTGTGGGCCAGAGGTAGGGACAGTGACCCCACTAAACTCATGCGGAAGCTTGGGTGATCTTAGACAAGGCATTCAACATTAGTGCTCTCTGGCCCCAAAAGCCTGGCACTCGATGGAAGGGATACCCCTGATTCACCCCACTGACCTACTAGGTCATTTGCCTTCATACATACAGCACCACCAAACTACCTGGTAGTTCCTTCAAATGGAAAAGAATACCTTAGAGATCTTGCAGTCCACCACGGCAGAATATATCCCATCACCCTAATATATTCTTATTTCTCGCCCTCTGCTCATTCTGTTTTCTGTAGTCCACTATCTCTGAGAGATCACTTCCTTAACTTGTGCTTTTTCGCACCTCTTATGTGTAGTCCCTATGTACGACCATGCTTCACAATTCCCAGATTCCAATCCATCCTCTTCAAGCCCTCATTCCTTTCTCACATTGCAGATAATTGTTCTGATCAAATTCATCTTCTGTTACCTGGCTTTTACTAAGAAGACTGTACTTAGTATAAAGAATACGAGACAATGGATGAAAAGGAATAGTAGTAGAGAAAAAGTGGTTAGGTACCTGAACATACTGTCAGGTGGAGTTACAGACATAAATATGAGTCAAACTTTTGATATATTCTGTTAATAACTACTATAAAGGAACACTGCACTAACAGAAGTAACAGTGATCAGAGAGAGATGGTTAACTTGTATTCTGCTTTGCTTTTGTTCAAATATGCTTTGAATATTGTGTCCAATTTAATTCTTCTTGATTTAGGGACCGCTTCTGAAACTGTACCTCACAGAACAAAAGGACCCAGAATAAAGAAGATACTAAAAACTCATTATAAGAAGCATTTAGGAAAGTGTAGATATTTTAACTAAGTGAAGCCTTCCAAAATATATGACTGACCTTCAAGGGGAAGAAGAAAAAACTAGGGCTACTAGGAAAAAATCACAGGGAAGTCTGTTTCTGCTGCTATAAATCATGTCTAATAATCAGAGGAAGCTTTCTCTCCCATTAACACTGGAACACGTCAGGAGAAGGCAGTGAGTACATTTCCTCACCAGCTCTTGCCCTGAGCCTCAAGGACCGGGGTGCCCTGTGTCATATTAAACTCAAAATGCTGTCCCAGAACCCTTCTTTTTCCCTTCTAAATCCCTAGATTGCTATTTCTGGGAACACGTGCATGAAGTTCTCAGCCACAGAACACATGGGATCCCTTGTATGCAATAACATGAGATTGCTGAGACTATAAAAGAGCCTTCCAGCAGGAAACTAGATTTCTAAATCCTCATGCATCCAGTATCAGAACTCATAGACTTTTCCTTCTTTTTTCATGGGGGCCAATATAAGCATAAGGAGAAAGTCTCCTGTTGAGTCCTCCAGTGACCCAGGGTCTCCTGACCCAACACAGCATTGTTCCCCTCCCTTATCCATGAAACTTACAGAGGATACAACAGATTAAGTCCTGCTTGAGGAATCAGCTGCCTGCATCCAGTTACCAGAGCAGAGACTGCTTCTGAATCTAGCAGGTTTTATAATCTACTGTCGGTTCCTCACACTGTCCCATCCCCTTCTCTGAGCCAGCTGGGAGTGGTAGTTTGGGATGCTGAGACATGGCAGCTAAGTTAAAAGTTCCCATGAGAGCTAGGCTGGAGTGCAGTGATACAATCTTGGCTCTCTGCAACCTCTGCCTTCCAGGTTCAAGCAATTCTCCTGCCTCAACCTCCCTAGTAGCTAGGATTACAGGCACCTGCCACCACGCCCAGCTAATTTTGTTATTTTTAGTAGAGAGGGGGTTTTATGGTGTTGGCCAGGTTGGTCTCAAACTCCTGACCTCAAGTGACCTGCCTGCCTCAGCCTCCCAAAGTGCTGGGATTATAGGCATGAGCCACCACATCTAGCAGAGAACAGGATTTAAATATGGGAGAGAATTCAATTCTGTGTCTATCTGCTTGACCACACAGACCATCCCCTTAAACATTTGCCTATTCTACATTCAACACTGTCATTGCACTGTCACTGCCACCATACCACCACTCTGCCACTGCCAGCACATGTGCTGCCCTGACACTGCCTGAACACACATCCAAGTGAGGACTTTCCTGCCACTTCCCTGATGAAGCACTTTTGCCAGCACCCTCCATTGGACTGTTGTTGCCAGGGGACTGAGAACACCTTGACTCCTCCAGTGTAGTAGGTGCTTAACTTAGAGGGGCAAGAGAACAAAGTCAGGGGCCTGGTCCCAGCCCCTCAGGGTTAGAGCACACAACCCAGGAGTGCTGAGCTGAGTCTTGGCCCCCTGAAAATATCCAGAAATGAAGCCAGTTGACTGAATCCAAATTACATCACAGCGAAACCCTCAGGGACACCAAAGAATAAAACAGCAAAAAGCCTCATCCTACGGAGAAATTCAAAGATTCAGGGAACATCAGCCAACACAGAGGAGAAAAAAAACAGCATAAGAACTTATGGTGGCAGGGGCAATGAGAGTGGTAGTGTAACAGCATGGTGGGGTCCATGCATACATGCGCATTGGCAGTGGCAGAGTGGTGACATTGAGGTTTGGGTATGTGTGTGTACGTCGGTGATGGTGGGGTGTCAATGTCTACATGACTCTAGCAAAGCAGCGGGGGCAGGCTGCAGGTGGGCGCATGCCAGTGTTGGGGGACTTCTGCCAAAGCTGACAATTAGGTGGAGTCTATTGGTGAAGGAGCTGTGGCAGTTGTCACTGGGAAGCTCCCTGATTTGGCAACTGAGGCTGTGACACAAGCATGTGCAGCCATGCTGGGACCCTGGGAGAGACTGGCAGACAGGGTAGCACTCAGATCAGACTTGCCTGGTCCCACAGCTAAGATATCCCTGTTCCCTACAAGTTCAACAGCCAACAAGGTCAAAGACACCTAGAGGAGCATGGCAAGCCTTGGGGGATGGGTGTGTCTGACTGTGCTCCACTGCAGCCAGTCCCATGCCAAACCTTCTGGGCTCCAAATGGATTGGAGTCCTGTTCCTTCCACATATCCAAACAGTTGTCCCTGATAGCTTGAATGCTCATGGAGGTTGTGGGGTCCCCTGCAGCTAGGATTGCAGAGGCCCATGGAGAGTGGGCCACATCATGCCTATATAACTCATCCCTTCCCCAGGAGCCACTCAAGGCTAGAAATGAGTCCTGGTGCCCAGAAACCCCATGCAGGGTTTTCAGCTTCCTCCTCCTTCAGCCCAGGCCTGTGTCCTCCCTCAGTCTGCTCTCAACTCTTTCCTTCCAAAGATCTGCCCAGAGTGTGTCAGTCTTCTTGATGGTTTTGTCTCTTGATGGGAGAAACTCTTCATGGCTGTGTCTAGTCAGCCATACTGGCTCTTCTCTATTCTGCTCTCGTCCTTATGAATACCTTACTCTTGTTTACCTCGGACTTAATTTATTGTTCCTTTTCTAAATTATTAAGTTGTTAACTTAGATAATTGATTTTACATCTTTTCTCTTTTCTAATATAGGCATTTAAAGTACAAATTTTCCTGTTTTCTCTTTGGCTGCATCTCACAACTTTTGCTATATATACTTTTCAATCAGTTTGAGATATTTTCTAACTTCTTCTGTGATTTCTTACTTGATCCATGGGTTATTTATATGTATTTAGTCTAGTTTCCAATTACTTCGCTCTTTCCATGCTATCTTATTTTCCAATTTAATTCTGTATTGATAAGAGAATATGACCCTGCACACACACCAAAAAAAAAAAAAAAAAAAAAATTCCCTGCCCCTGCTCCCTATGGCTTTCCAAGCCCCCGTGTGACATTACCAATAAGCCCTAAGTTCCCTCATCCAAAGGATGAAAAGCCTCCCTCCTACTACCTATTAGAAAAGAATCATTCTACTATAAAGACACATGCACACATATGTTCATCGCAGCCCTGTGTACAATAGCAAAGACCTGGAACCAACCCAAATGCCCACCGATGATAGACAGGACAAAGAAAATGTGGTACATATACACCATGGAATACTATGCAGCCATAAAAAACGGTGAGTTCGTGTCCTTTATAGGGACATGGATGAATCTGGAAATCATCATTCTCAGCAAACTGACTCAAGAACAGAAAGCCAAGCACCGTACATTCTCACTCATAGGTGGGTGTTGAACAATGAGAAAATGTGGACTCAGGGAGAGGAGCATCACACACTGGGGACAGTTGGGGAGGGTAGGGGAGAGACAATGGGGGGTGGGGAAGGAGGGGAGAGTGGGGAGGGATAACATGGGGAGAAATGCCAGACATAGTATGCACCTAAAGTAAAATAAATAAATAAATAGAAAAGAACTTCATTTCCACATTTTATACTTCCTCAGAGGAAGGTTATTCTTCCTCTCACAAGGGGGACACATGGGAGTGAATACTTTTCTCTCTGGTCTCTTCTCTGCTTGGTTTTCCATATGGGAAGAAGGGTCACTAACACAATTGGGCAGAGACGGATGGGAGCAATGAATGCAATGGATGGGGTTATCATGTTTCCAAAGTACAAAACATGTTCTAATCTGTTTCACTACCTGCCTCATGGGTATGTAAGGATGGTAGTAAACTCTCTTTTTTGTATTAAATACCATAGCCTAAACTGCATAAGAGCTTGTGACCTGGTTTTTAGAGAGAAACATGGAAAACAACTATTCACTATTTTGCATTTTATATTCCACTAAGGTTTCATTTATGAGATTTTGCAATGGCCATCAGATGGCTGGATAATTGTGCTTGGAGTCTACTTTTCAAATCAAATTGCCTCATACGGTTACTTTTGTTTTTTTAATGAGTATTTATAAAACAAACATATATGAAGTACTTGGTATTACTCCTTCTTTATCCTAAGCACAGATGTAAACAAATTAAAAACACAAAGAGATACCTTTTAAAATAAATTTACTAGACACATATATATATATTTCTTCCTTGAAAATAGAAATTACATTTCATTATTACTAGAAACTATTACATTCACTTATCCACTTACATTTGTTTGAAATAAGTAATACTAATATTGCAATAAATGTTTTCTCACACTGGCCTTCTCAGCTGCTTTGAAGAGACCCTATTGGTACATAGAAGCCAATGATCTGGGGCTCCCAGCACTAACTCAGAGGTTTTGAAGACATTGTAAACCTAAAACCAACCAAAGAGTGGGACTTTACAATTACAATGTTGCACAGCCTATCAATGGACAAAGGCAAGAAAGATGACACATCCAGAACTATCATCTGTTTCTCCCATCCCCAAGTCCTACTGACACAGGGAGTAGAGAAATGTTGAAATCAAGAGCAGAAGAAAAAATGGCAAAAATAGTCACAAATCCAGGTATCCAGGTATATACCAATAAGCCAAGTATCTGTGGGTGTTCTTTAGTATGGCACTAGTAAGATTAGAAGGACTATTCACTGTAAAATGGTCTATATTCATGTATCTACACCAGTCATAGGGTCCTGGACGTGTGTCTCCAGAAGGCGCCTCTGAAGAAAACTATGAGAATATGTTCAGATCAATTCTTTTGGGTAAACACGCTGAGCACTCGCTGGCGGATCTGCTGAGTCTTCACCCCATAGACAAGAGGATTGAGTGCAGGTGGCACGAGGAGATACAGTGTGGCCAGAAGAACATGAACATGATGGGGTACATGGTGGCCAAAGCGGTGAGTGAGGAAGGAGAAAATTCCAGGGACATAGAAGATGAGAATCACACAAACATGACATCCACATGTGCTAAAGGCCTTAAGTTGGGCCTCACTCCCTGGTACCTTCAGCACTGCCTGGAGGATGTGGGCATAGGAAACACCAATGGCCAGGACATCCAGCCCAACCACAAGCAAGGCCACAGTCAGCCCATAAGCTTGGTTCACTGTGGTTGCTGAGCAGGCAAGTTTCACAACAGCCATATGTTCACAATAGGCATGGCCTATGACGGTGGCCTGGCAGAAGATAAGTTTTTGCAACAGAATGGGGAAGGGGATGAGGAGGAGTAATCCTCGCACCAGCACCGCCATTCCAATGCGTCCTATGACCCCTGGATGCAGGATCGTGGAATGGTGCAAGGGGTGACAAATGGCTACATAGCGATCCAGAGCCATGGCCACAAGTACCCCCGACTCCATGGAGGAGAATGCATGGATGAAGAACATCTGGATCAGGCAGACAGTGTACCCAATCTCATGGGCGTGAACCAGGAGCACTGCAAGGGCTTTGGGTGCAGTGGAGGAGGCCAGAACCAGGTCGATGGCAGCGAGCATCGACAGGAAGAGGTACATAGGTTGGTGCAAGGAGGAGTCCATCCAGATGATGAAGAGAATGGTAACATTGCCCACTAGAGCAAGGAAGTAAAGGATGCCCATGGGCAGTGCAATCCAGTGCTGGCTTTCCTCTAAGCCCGGAATCCCTACCAGGAAAAAAGAAGGCTGGGGTAGCCTCCAACTGGAATTGCTAAGGGCCATTATCAATGGCTTGGAGAGGGAAGAGAAAAAAGAAACCAAAGTCATGATTTCTGCATTCCTGGTATGTTATCACATTGCCCAAATGTGGCAACCATCTTCATGAGAAGAATAAAGTGACTTCAACTGCAGCCAAAGGAAATAAAGTTAGATGCAGGGAAGAAAATCTCCTTTGCTGGAGATACTTATTTTACAGGTGAGACAGACACACATCTGAATTAATACAGGCTCAGTTTTGTTTAGAGATAAGAGTAAACATAAGCTGCTTTTGGAGAGATGCTTAAGCTCTACTATTCAGTTGTTTATATTTTGGAACTGTCTTTTTCAAAGAGTTATTTTTATCACCGTCTTGGCATTACTGAGGACTGCAAATCAATCTATTGTTTTTGAAATTAGTCTTTCTCAGTTTCCATGACATGTAACTCCACAGCTATTCTTCCTGTTGCCTCAGTCCCACCATTTTCTCTATCTCATTGTGTCACTGATTCCAGCGATCCGTCCTCTCCCTTCATCCCTCTCTGTACATTATCTCTGAATTGATTTCATCTATTTCCATGGTTTTAACTGTGTATATATTTTTATTTCTTCCAAATGTATGTTTCTTTACTCAAATATCTTTCTGAAATATAAATTAATTTTTCCATTTGCCTTGTGAATATCTGTACCACATCTTCAATATATTCAACACTGGATTAATTCACCTATTTTTTCCAAATTTGGTCTACTTACTTTTTGGCATGAATTTTGAATCACATCCCTATCTACCTACATAACCCAATCTAAAAACTTGGAAGCTATCTTTATTCATAATCTCTCATCCCTTATATCCCTTCGCCAATTTGTGTTGACTTTATTTTTAAACCTACTTTATATCCACTTCTGCTTCTCAACCCCCAATGTCACTGCCTTAGTTCATACCCAACTTCGCTCACCTGGAGATATTTCATAGCATCTTATTTCAAGCTCACCTTCACTATTTTATAGCATCTCTCTGCTTTTGCCATTGTTTATTTGCCTTCCAATTCACTCTCAGCCCTGAAGTCACAGGGTTTCTCTAAAATGCAGATATATATAATATATATATATATATATATATATATATATATAAAACTCCTAAGGTTAAAATTCTTCAATGAATTTGTGGCATGGAATAATATCATATTTTGAGTCTGGCATAAAGGTTATCAAAAGTTATATTTTGTGTATTACTTTTGTCTTACAGTTAATATATTTCTACATGTATGTTTTACTAACCATCCCAGCATTCTTGAAGTTATGTGTATACACCAAGCTTACCTATGACTTTTGTGTGGTCTGTCTTCAAGTTTTTTTATCTGAATTGGTTCTTCAAAATTCAGTCCACTGTCGCCACTCAAAAGGACTCATTACCTGTGTTAGATGAATACTGCTTATGGTCAGAGCATTTTACAATCTTCTGTTGTTCATCCATAACTTTCTGACTTATCTCTAGAAATTCTATCAGTATCTTAATGATTTGTTTTATTTTAAAAAAACATATCTTATTATACTTTATAATCATAAGATAGCTTGGTCAACATTTCACAATGTACTGGGATAAATTTAAGCACTAGAGGAAAACAAACTTGGCTTAAATCTTGTCCATTTCATATTCTAGGAATAAAGCATTGGTAGGATACTAAAACTCTCTCAGTCTTGATTTTCTGATTTTATAAATAATGTCAATCTTACAGGTTTATTGTAAATATTAATAAGTAATGTACGTAAAGTCCTGATATGTTGATTAGTTTACAAATTATAGTTATAATTATTTTAATATCAAAAATAGAAGAGGACTGAGTATTGGATCGCAGCTTTTCTCTTTTCTTCTTTGTCTCCATAACGCTGCTTCTCTGTTTCAAACTTTTGATATGTTTACCTCTCATCATGATAACAATTCAGTGTCTTTGACATCCTCGTGTTAACATGAAGTATCAAGATGCTATGTTTAACCTTATCCATGGGATTCACCCTTGAAACACTGAAACAAAATACTTGAAACTGGATATATATATGTCTTTATGTTTGTCTTAAAGGACGGGTGTAGTCTGAAATAACTGTATTTTTATCTGTCGGGGTGGTGGTGCACATATACATGTAAGGATTAAAAAGTCAAAAATGACTTAGTTCTTGTGGGCAATGCATCTATAGATCACTCAGAGTGCTTTTTGTACAAATTAATAATGACTATTATATTGACCCAAAACTCTGAATATGATAGCTATAAAATCTGAAATGCCACATGGGGATATATTTCCTAGGCTTCTTTGTTTTTGTTTTTATTTTTGTTTTTGTTTTTCCAGAATCAACTTGAAATAACAATGACATTTTTATTGAGACCTCCAGGGGAATCTCATAATCTTACAAAAATTTACCATCAGTGCTTAACATTCCACACAGAGAGAAAGTCCATTCTCTTTTTTTAACCTACCCCCTTCTGTTGCAAGCTTCAGCCCATTTCTCATTTTTTAGCTAAGAAGTCAGAGAACAGCTGTGCATTTGTGGAAGGCACTCAGGACTTGAATAGAAGCAGTGAGATTAAAACCAAACTACAGAGCGTGAAGCAGAGAAGCAGAGACACATGTGCCTGAGTATAACCTGCTTCTACTTTTGTTGGATGGCTTGTAAGCCTAGAGTAAAAGTCTACAACTGCTTAGTAAATGCTATTTTTTTTTTTACTTATTTTAGTTTAATTTTTAACTCAGAGTAGGGGAGGATGGGAAGTGAATAAGGGATAAAAAAAATCACCTACTAAGTACAATGCACACTATTTAAGTGATGGGTACACTAAAAGCCCAGACTTCATCGCTGTGCAATTCATCCATGTAACCAAAACTACTACTCTTAAAGCTTTTGAACTTTTTAAACAAATTGTAATTAATTGTTATTAAACAGGAGGTCCCTCTATGATTCTTAGAGGAAAAGCAGAAAGGACTTTATTTTCAGGAACCTAAAGACAAAGCTGTATTTAGTTCTTCAGTCGCAAAGCAGAGGACAATTACTAAAGAGTTGATGTTGTTCAGCTAGGTACTTATTCATCTAATTCAGTCCAGCAACCTATCTTTTGTGAAGTTGTGCTCAAATTCTGTAAGGTACTATGACATGTCTCTTGTTCTTTCCTATTGTAATGCCTTTACCGCTTTTTCCCTGCATTAATGACCTCACACTCTAAACCAGCCAGCATGCCAGTCTTTGAAGAGCAGCAACTCTGCATTGCTTATTTCAGCAGCCCCAGGGTGAGCTCCAGAAGCACCTGGAATCTAATCGGCAATCAGTAACATTGGATGAATAAATAAACACTCATAAGATTCGATTAAAAAACAATAAGTGTATTAGTGTCTTAAAAGACTGAGAATCACAGGAAGGTGATAAGGCAGAGGCTAAATTTAAGGATAGGAATCATGTAGCAAACAGTGGCGTGTCTTTTGAGGGGGTTACTGATAGAGCCTCAATATTCCTCATTTTAAGTGATGATCTCTTTCATGGCAGAAAGAGACCTGCTGAATCTCTGTCATGAGAGAAGATGGTGAAATCCTGGATGTGTTCAGAAATAAGAGGGTTCCTTTGGTTCCTAGAAATCACTCTGCACTGCCTCTAGCAGGCAGAGAGGCTTCATCTATTGGCTATGATCTGGCCCTCTCTCTTCAGTTTCCTTCTTAACAGTGGCCTGGACTCCATGACAGTGGGGAAAAAAAGAAGAGGCAAGAACCTACAGAAACAGTAGGGGAGGGAGAGGACAGAGACAATGGGTCCATGATAATGACCTAATAAAGAGGAAGATACAGAACTCAAGCACTAAGAGGCAGAGCTCACAACATGGATGATAAAATAAGCCTGGCACAGCGCACTGTTCTCCTGGTCTCTGGGCTGCCTTTGAGGATGTACCCTTTAGAGTCTTGGGTCAGCCTGGAGGGAGACTCAGAAACACAGAAAGAACTAGAAAAGGGAGAAAATTCCCAGACTCAGGAAGTTCTGGGAACTTTCATGAAGAATTTTCTGGAAAACTCAAGAAGGTTCCATTACGACCCTCCCTGCTCAGCCCCAGGAACTCCCTAAGTGTCCAGTTCAATCTCCATGATGACCCTCTGCCCTAGCTTGTGGGTAACAATGATGAAGAGGGTTTTCTATTCAGAAGGGCTGCACAAATGTCAAAGAGGACATCAAACACATCCCTCAAGGTCTGTGCAGCTAAAGTTTTCCAAAGATGTGAAACATGATTACTAGCTCGGGAAAAGCTTGGGTAAATGTAGCAAATCAGCTGTATCTACATGCACAGCATGTATGGTGAGGATGCCACCTAGGACCATGCCAAATGGCCCTGTGAGTGCGTCAGGCTGACCATGAAGGCTTAAAGAGATTGGGAGATGTCCGTGTGTTCACAGGTTTACTCTCAGCCCTACCCTAACCACTTTTCACCTATATTCTTTTCTCTCCCTTTCCCCCACTCTCATAGAGTTCAGGCTACTGTTAAGAAGGAGATTAAGGAGAGAGGAACAGGTCACATTTTGTAAAAGAGCCTCCCTGCCACTAGTATCTAAATGGTAAAAGCCAGGAATAGACAGTTTGTTTGAGGAGTCAGGCTTGGAGAGAACAACTAATCTAATTTGGAGGGAAAATAAAATGAAGACTACTAAGAAGTGTCAGATCAGAGGTATTGGGAGAGCCATACTAGATAAGCCAAGAAACAACCCCTGTCACAAGAGCTATAAGGGCAGAATTCAGCTAGCAATAGTCTTCCCCCAGCTATAAGCCCAAAAGCTTGCCTCATTTTCCACTGCTGAATTCCTGTGCACCAACTTGTCACTGTTTCTGTCATCTTCATCTGAAAGGAAAGTTTATACTTGATACTCTCCCAAGGCAGCGACAGTGACTGTGAGCATTACTGGGCAAGCAGGATGTTATTACCAATTGGCAGGTCCCAGAGGACTCATACACAACCTGGACAAAGCCTAAGTTAGCCCCCAGATTGGCTGGAAAGCCACAGAGCTAAGTATTCAGCCCACAGAGATGGGTGATTGGGCAGAAAGGCCAAGCAGGGAGTGGCTCTTACATGTAACCAGGTGGCCCATGTCTGTCCA